AGAGTTATTTTCAAATGCATTGGAAGAAAAGTAATGTTTGCATTAAATTTTGGTGATAATTAGACCGCTGATAAAAATCTTATATATCGTACAATCTATGTGCCTGATATGGACACTTATTGGCTAACGTTTTGATATATAAGGTGTTAGATAAAGTAAATAATGATTGTAAGGTAAAAAGACAATGATAACAACTTTAGTGGACATTTTCTTTAGTCTTCGCTTCGATGTGTTTTCGTAATTTTTATCAGTTTATTTTAACGTTCCGTTAAATATATTTAATATTAAATCTAAATCGTATAAACTTCAAGTTTAACATTTAAATTAAAACAATTTCCGACCGATTTCAAATTACGACACACCACATCAATGGATCTCTTCGCCCACTACCATTAACCGTAGCCTTAGACCATTATGCAAATTTATTCATCCATTGCTTTATTTACTATAATGGACTGTAATTTATAGAACTAAGCAGGCAATGTACTTCGATTGTATACTTATATATTTTAACATGAATATTTATTGGTGTGAGAACTAATTCACATTCTGAACTCATGCGCAGCCTGTCTCCTGTCAAACAATTGCCTTCAGGGAAACTATTCCGAGTAATTGGGCCAAATAATTTTAAACTGATCGCTTTAATCTGAGAATTAACTTGGAATTACGTATGTTTTATTACATAGTTTAATTTGCGTTTGATAAAGTTGGACATTAGAATTTTTTTTTTCAATTTTTTTTTATTAAAATTAAAAATCTAACAAAATTATTAACAAATCGATTAATTTGAACTTATCACATGTTATATTGAATTAAGTTTAAATGTACAAAATTATAAGCTTATATTTCGGTCCACTGCACTTAATGGAGGACAAAACATTTCTATTCGTGTCGGCGACAATTTGCTAACAAGCATTTTAATAGCACAAATGTCTAGACCAATATTGCAGTTATAGACAACTGGCAAAAAAACTACAATGACGTTGAAATCCAAGGCAACATGTCGCATTCAACGAACCTAAGATAATTTTGTTAATTGAACAGAACACGTTACGAAACATATTCCATTTCACTTCTAATAAATGGTCAATCATTTTACTTTTAACTAATATTATAAATGCGAATGTTTGTATGGATGGATGTTTGTTTGAAGATATCTCCAGAACAGCTGAATGGATATCGATGAAATTGTGCATAGATGTAAAGCATTGGCTACTCATTAAGGTTTTTTTTATTCCGCGCGGACGGAGTCGCGTGCGACAGCTAGTCTAATTATAATTCTTTTTATTGGATAATTTGAATTATATATTTTATTACTTCATCATCATCAATTCACTATACGTCCCCATTGAGTAGCTCGGAGACTACGCTAACTTAGGGGTGACTAGGCCATAGTCAACCACGCAGGCGCAATGCGAGTTTACTTCACTTTGAATTACGTCGCAGATATGTAGGTTGAATCACGATGTTTTCCTTCACTGTAATAATATCGGATTAAAGTACATATGTAAACCGAAAATCACATTGGTACATGGCGGGATTCGAACCCATGAACTGCAAATTACAAGTCAAGAAAGTAAAAGGCTTTAAGTTTAACAATAATGAATTAAAAAATATATAAACATTAAGAAATTTAATGAGATGTTCTTACAGATATATGGCCACTGTAAGGCAAGTAACAAAAAATCTTATTTATAAAACTTATTTAAGATTTAACCATGGACGCAAGTTACCTTCATCCAAATGTTATTACAAAATAAATCAACATTAACTCTTTATTAAAACTTATATATGATCTGTCTTGTATAACAAATATCAAATGTCATAACCAACTGAGATATGGAATTATAAAGGTGGTTACACACGGTCGCGAACATACGCATTGCTTGAAACAATGTTAACCTTGAACTTTGTCCATGTTCTATATTTTTTGTAAAAACTAAACTGTATACATAAGGGGCCTGAAAAGTGTAAATCATTGAAAAAATATATTTCAAAACAATCAGTCTTAAGTTATAATATGGCCGTTTAATTCTATATCTATACTATATTTGAATTATGAACGCTTCATCATCAGCTCACTATACGTCCCCATTGAGGGGCTAACCTACTTTAAGTTATGTGTGATTAGCCATAGTCAACCACGCTGGCCCTGTCGACTTCACATACAAATATGTGCAATCAACTGGGCAAGTCAGATAGAAATTCAAAAATTTCTTCACAGATATGTGCAGCATCACGACGTTTTCCTTCGCCGTAAGAACGTCGGGTATATGTACATACGTAAATCGAAAAATACATGGAGGATTCGAACCAAAGACCTGGAGATTACAAGTCAAGTGCTTTAAACCCTCAGCCACCGCCGCTCGCTTTGAGCGCTCGATGTTCATTAATTGTGTATAACCACCTTAATCCTGTAATCGGAGCCTAGTTGGTCCAACTCTTAAGATTTAAAAATTGTAAGCACTAAGGTAGTGCGTTAGCATTGATTTAATGTGAGAAATCTACAGTAAGAACCAGCTTAATAAACGATTAAACGACTGAGTGAATGCTCACTATGATTGTCTATAAAAACAAAAAAAAAGTATATAACATAACTTTAGAACAATACTAACATCTTAATAATCGAACAAACAGTTATGTACAAAAATAGTAGTACATAATATCAGGTACATTTAGTAAATAGAAATTATATACAATAGAGATTGTTTTTATTTCTAAGTACAAAAATACAGATCCTTCTTATCTTCTCCAAATATTTAGTACTAACTAGAAAGTATCAGTCATGTTTACTATAATACTTACCGTGAGTTTCTGAGACCAAAATATTTATACTATTATAGGATAATTATCTTTGACAACAGAGAGAGAATATGTTTTAATCGGAGATTTTGGTCTCGGAAACCCACGGTTAACATATCGTTCTGTAATTATACAACTATGTTACTATTATTTATATCCTTATAAATTCGTAAGTTACAAGTACTTTATTCCTGCATTTGCAATTTACTTTACTTTGTAACCGAGGTGGGTAGGTAGTAATTACAAATTTGTCAAGGTCCTAACACTAGCATATTATTCGACATTTACATACATATGCAGATTTAGGGGATTCTGATATCACAATCTCTATATTAAACAGAATAGATAACAATATTTTTAAAAACATATTTCGGTCTCAGAAACCCACGGTAAAAGGTATTCCGCCTAGAACATTCTCTTTACTCTGACTCTAGTATTCACATATCCTTTCAACTTAACCATACTACATTCATCGAAAACGTTTGGAGTCTATCACAGCCATTTGCTTAGCGAAATAAATATAGGAATAGTCAAAGGATACCCGGATTTTTTTTGTTACGGACACATCTATGTGCACTAATTTACTAAGATTTAACTTCTAGCTAAGATATAGCTTTCTTTTACTTAAATACTATAGCTTTCTTGTCTGTGGAGCAAACCTTTAACCCTGTCTCCTACCGTTCTCATGACTTCCACCACACGACGTCTACTTTTTTAAATAAATTCTAAGGTGGCAAACAGGCAGCTGTATGGATTCGCCGAAATAGCGAAGTCACCGTTGCCCATAGACATCCGCAATTGCAGTCAGTTATCTCCCTTTAATCGACAGAGGAGAGAACCTCCAGAAAGAGTTCGTTTCACATTCCTTGCGCCATTTCCCCTTCCCATCTTTACTTAAGGAACATACTTATTCCAAATTTACATTCTATCACTAACTAAAAAATAACAAGCGATTAATATTGTTCTTATAAAAATATAATTCAGGATAACTGCCTTCGGTGGGTGGTTTTTAAGTCAAATTATTTTAGATTTTATATCTCAAACGCATATATGAGGTACTTCTTTGGCAATATCTTGCTTCAGAACAACGATTTCTAAACATTAAGACATAAGTTAAAAAAAACTATCTATATAAAAATCAATTGCTGTTCGTTAGTCTCGCTAAAACTCGAGAACGGCTGAACGAATTTATCTTATCTTTCTCTTAAAATGTTCGTGGGGTCTAGAGAAGGTTTAAAAGGTGAGAAAAATTCGAATAATTGCCGGGAACTAATTCAGTTTTTTTTCATTCCACGCGGACGGAGTCGCGGGAGACAGCTAGTCCAAATTGAAATTTCCGAGTCCGAAATCTCCTATTAAAACATATAGTTAGCTCAGTTTTGTCAAAGCTAACGACAGAACGATACGTTTTATATAGATTTTGATGTCAGAAACCCACGGTAAGTCCTCTCTTCCCACCTAATAACCTAAGGGCAGTAGGATTTGTCATCTGATAACTCAATTGGTTGTTTTCCACCGTATACTACAAAAAAACTTATATTTGATTTTTCATATACAAGTTTTATTTACTGACTGAAAACTTAGTTTACTTGTTTTATGTGAATGTTATGGCAGTGCAAACTCATAAAGTTAAACGAAAACATGTTTAGGAATCGTTGTTCTAGAGGTTTGTTGCGTATAAGCCTACCTAAACTAATTTTGGATTTATGTAAAAAAACATTATAAAAAATATCAATATAATTTAAGGAATTAAATGTGATTCAGGAATCAATACGTTATTTTTAATTTCAGTCAAATCTATGATTTACTTATAATTATAAAATCAACTGCATTATTTGAGTAATTATTTACATTTAATTCTTACAATTTTACAAATATTGCGATGCTTACTATTTCTTTAGATAAATCTTTTCTTTCCGACTGTACTTATGTTATTACGCTATGACTATTTATAATTAACTGTACTTGCGATTTTGAGCTTCAATTGGACAGTCGCAAACAAAAATAATAGGAAGTGACAATAGTTTTATACTTTGTTCATAATTGTACTTCTAATATTGATTATTGGACACTTAGTGATTAGCAAAAGGGCGATTTATCTTACTAATATTATAAATGCGAAAGTATGGAGGTATCTCCAGAATAGTTCAACGGATCTTGATGAAATTTGGCATAGATGTAGAACATAATCTAGCAGAACACATAGGCTACTAATTAAGTTATTTTTAAATCCGCGCAGACTAATTCACGGGAAAAAACTAGTATATGAAAACAACTTATCCAACGTATGTACTTGTGACTTCGAGGTAGATACATAGCGGACAGTCAAAGACATTAATGCAATTTACATTAAGTCAAATCATCTGATTTATGTTCAAAGCCATATTCTCCCTAACTGTACTTGGCCTTCGAGGACATTGTGGACAATCAGATACAAAAGTGAAATCTACAATAAGAAAAACCTATCGATGAGCGTTAACGTTTGCTGGTATAAGTTCAAAGTTATATTCTTACTAACTGTACTTGTGTACGTAGTTGTACGTAGAAGCAATGTGGACAGTCAGTAACAAAAGTGCAATCTACAATCTACAAGAAGAACAACTTATCGGTGAGAGCGTCGGACGGCAGCTGGTTTATATTCTGCCCGACAAGGTACGCGAGCTTGTGCGCGTACTGGCAGGGCGCTGGCACGCGCACTGTGCCGGGCCAGTTGTAGTACAGGTGGCACATTTTGTAGGTCAGCCGCTGGCACTGGTCCGCTGTCATGCCGCTGTCGTCATGGATCACCACGTAGTGTGTCGGCGTCACTGTACCTTGGTTCACTTTCTGCGATGCGATCAGGAAATCGTACCTGTCGTGTTAAAATGTACCTCGTGAAATGAAAAGTTCAACTTTATTATGAACTTTTTTATTTAGATTGCATTTTTTTTGTAGTTTTTTTTTAACTTAATTTACTTCGTATTAGGCTAGTATTTTATTTAAATAGGAAGTAAATATTATTGTATATTCTTAAGTTCCTGATAAAATTTTCTCGCTATCTCTCTTGAGCAAATAAAGCAATTAATGTATGTGTCTATCTTGCTAATATTATAAATGGATGGATGGATGATTGTTTGAAAGTATTTTAAGAACGGCTGCATGGATCACGCTGAAATTTGACATAGATGTAGAACATAGTCTGGAAAAACGCGTAGTAATTAAGTTTATTTAATTCCGCGCGGACGGAGTCACGGGCGAGGGCTAGTATTGAATTATATACCTACTAAATTCTAATTAAATTTAAGAACAGTAATATAAATAAACTTAATGACATCTGAACTCACCAGTCTCGTCGCGTGACACAATGATCAAGAACAGTCCCGGGGAATGGATTTTCGAAGCCATTGCGTGTCTTCATGAATATTCTCGTGTTGATACGTTTCTGTACCACGACGTATGTGAGCGAAGGTTTGTACGCAGTGCCCAGGATTGAGAAGCAGATCTGCATCTGAGGAATCTCGTAATCTTGGAGGAGTTTTAGCTGGCCATCGCCAACGCCATCTCTGAAATCATTTAAAATAATATTTACTATATTTTAATGATAACTTAAGCCGTACTTAGTGTAGATTTAGTATCCAAAATCTTTAATGTCCTATTAAGGACTCTAACCGTTGGTTTCTGAAACCATAATATCTGTATAAAACACAGATAGCGATAAGTTTTAAATGTAGAATTTGGTCTCAGAAACTCACGGTAAGTACCATATAGGCATTTGGTAAACCAACTTTACTACACCTATTTTATTATATACATAAAATTATTGATTTATTCATAAAAGTTTATGATTACTTCCGTTTCAAGAATTTTCTAGTTTTGTTTCTATTCACCCCGTTTTATCATGACAGTTACATACTAGTTATATATGTAACTTATTGTTTAAAAATGTTGACGTTTTTTTTTATAAGCTACAAACAGTTGGGAAAAATATCACTCATCGGTCTAATATTTTAATTTTCTTACCTGTAAATAATAATTCTGTCAGGTAATCTGCCATTGACTCGTAGATAATGTTTCAATGCATCAACAAAGCAGGATTTGAGACTGTCGACAATCTCCTGCCCTCTCTCTTGTAACACCACTTTGGAGTACCAGTGTGTCATCGTTTGATTATAAGATGCTATGAATGCTGTAATATTAAATATAACTTAAATATTAACTTTCTAAACAAAAACACCAATAGTTTAATGCACAAAAAAAAGAATTTTGGTATTTTTAATATATTTTTTTTAATTATTCAATAATTTTTATATATATAGTAGAAGTATATTTTTATAAAGTAAACGATTGAAAATTTCTTGTTAAGATAAATACAGACAACAAAAAAAACATAAGATAAAATTAATAAAGCGGAAATTGCATCTTCCACACTATAGATGACAGCACAATCAAGAGTTTTAGCACAAAATATAGCACAGATATACAAAAAATCAATTTACTTTATAAACAAAGTACAATATACTCTATGGACTGTAGTCATAACGACTTCCGTAAATTTCACTCATAAGTATTTTTTTAAAGATAATATTCTAAAATATTTTATTTTTTTTAATTAATTCTTATTGACTGTTCCGGAATTAAAGAGCTTCGAAGACAAAATGCATCCATACTTGGAGATAAAGCCAATTTTTATATTTATATAATTAGTTTATTAAACTATATTTTTTTAAACGCCAGAATGACGTATAAAAACAAAGCTTTGACATACACTTGATGCTAGTGCCATCTAGTTAAAGCTTTGAGTTTTTCTCCCCGTTAACTAAGTTTTTAATGTTGACTTACCGCAAACGCTTTTCTTTTTCCTACTGGCATCATGGTAAGAGTCGATGCCTATGATCATGGCCGACTTCAAGGGTATGCTGATGTTCCACAATGTACCTCCCAGTTTGCAGTTCATTTGAAGCAAAATCTTCTGAGTTATAGAACGGATCTTTTGACTGTTCATTATTGTACGAGCGTTGATCACCTATAAGAATTATTTGATTTGATTATCAAAAATGTAAACTAAGAAATATTAAGCAATTTAATCTTGAAACTAGCTGTCACCCGCGATTCCGTCGGCGCGAACTTTAAAAATGTAATAAGTGGCCTCTGTATTCTTCCAGACTATGTCCTAAATCTGTACCAAATTGCAGCGAGATCCGTGCAGTCGTTCTGGAGATACTTTGAAATCAACATCCATCCATCCATCTAAACATTCGCATTTATAATATTAGTAAGATATAATTAAAACAAGTAATAAATTAATATGTTATACATAAACATGTTCAAACACTTTTACAAAATAGATATGACATTTATCAATCTTACTAATATTATAAATGCGAATGTTTGGATGGATAGATGTTTGTTCGAAGGTATCTCCAGAACGGCTGAACGGATCTCGCTGAAGTTTGGTTTAAATATAGAACGTGGTCTGGAACACATTGGCTACTTTTTAAGGTTTTTTATTCCAGCACAGAAGGTGTCACGAGCGACATCTAGTATGTCATAATTTTACTCGAACCAGATATAAAAATAGAAGTATATTTTTAATTCAAAACAAAACTTACTTGTGAAGGAACAGGATTATCAACACAGCATATTTTCTTGATAGCGGAGTATCTGTCGTCTCGTATGGTGGGACAGATAGCTACGACCAGCTGCAGATTGGCTATGGAGAACTTCCTGAGAGCCGCTATGTAGGAATCCGTGCGATCATTGGGTAGACGTATCATTTCGGGCGCGGATACGTTGATACCCATAGGACGACAACAACGCTTCAATGTGTCTATGAAATCCTGTATAAAAAGAAATATTATGGTGTTTTTTTTTGTACAATGTAATAAAGAAGGGAACTGATATCGATAAAATAGCAAATGAACCAACTTCATAATGAACCAAAAATAACAAATAATCTAGTCACAATTCTAGCCGTATTGTACAGTCAGCGTCGTAAATATAAATACAATTATAAAGATTCAAAAATTTGTACACATCATCAATTTCAAAAATATTCAGGCATGTTTCCGCATACGCATCTCATCACGAATACGTGCTAATGAAGAATACTCATACTTCTTTTTGTAACCAATATTTGTAAATATATACATATATTTACCGCTGACTGTACATAATACTAAGGAAGAAAAAGAATAAAATTACAACTCACTAGCCAATATTAGTTAAAAAATGTTGACAAAAAAAAGAATAATTTGATAAAGAAAAAAACAAAAAAAACTTACATTAGTAACATTTTTATCTCTGTCAGTAAATAGCACAACCCATCGTAGTATATCAACAGCTTGCATCACTGCATTTCTAGAAACATCTCCGTTCCAATCAGCATTATCCTTGCCGGGGACTTTGACATTGTTGCCGAAGTAAAGCGGCTCCGGAGGCAAAGTCCTGGCTGTGATGTCTACAGTCTCCGGTGCTATACTCAGCCCCCAACTGGTTAATCGGCTCTTTGCAGTCTCATTTGACATCACGTTTTGTATGTACTAGAAAAAACAATGAATATTTGTGATAACACTAAACTCAATCAAACTCTAACTCATCTGAAGGAATGACATTGCTCCATACAAGCTTTGCACCCTCATTTTGTACCTTTAGGGGATGAATATAACAAAATCGATTCTTAATGTATGGCTACTTGGTAAGACGCAGACGTTTTGGCTTAACGTTCAAACAATATCTAATAATTAGTACAATTTTCGAATTAATGTGAAAGGATAACTTAGTAAGAAATGATTTATTCAATCGGGGAAACTGTTTACCTTTTTAAATGCAGCATGTCGTTGGTTGGGAGTGATCCGTGTGTAAGTGGCGACATCCTTCATGAGGCGGAAGTTGCTGCGCTGGTCATCCGTCAGTCCTGTCAGCTGGCACAGCTCCGGCACCAGACAGATCATGAAGTCTGTCGCTTTCTCTGACCCGGGCAACCGCTTTGTGTCTCTGGGAAAACACGTGTACTTCATGATTCCATTATAAAACTCCATTAAGTAAACCTATAGATTTTTTTAAGTTATTTTTCATTATAACTTTGAATACTTACCTTGATATAAGAAGTGGTTGTTCCCAATCCATGATATCGATTCCATAATTTTTCTTATAATAATCAATAAATGAGATTTGCACCGGTTGTCCATTTTCTAACTTTTCGAATGTCGATCGTGGTGTCATTGAATCATCTATACTATCAATTCTAAAAAAAAAATTCTACCTATTTAAACCATAAAGTAACTCAATTGACACGTGTAGTAAATGTACATTTACAATCAAACCGAATCATTAAACCTCTATAAGAGAGTCATTGTCCAGTCCCGACGGAACATTTCCCTTCCAATTCTTTTCTTATAAGGAAAAAATGGGAAGGACAAGTTGGATTCAGCGGAGGCATAGGAAGGAAACACTCTTTTTGTGCGTCGCCCCCTTCGTCGATTGAGATATATTAGGCAATGCATCTGATATTGTGAAATCTATGGGCAGCGGTCACTTCGCTATTTGGGCGAATCTAAGTGGCCGCTCGTTTGCCAGCTATAATAAGTAAATCTTCATAATGGAGAAATTTGGGTTAGAGAAAAACCTCAAATAAGTAAAATAATCCAGTTCCTTAAACTCTCGCGTATCCAGGTTGATTTGTAATTCGTATTCATCCTATATAAACATTTATCTTAAAATATGCTCAAGCCAAATAAAAGGGATATTTTTTATACTTACCGAAACAATTTTTTATTATATGTAGTCATAACAGAGCTGCCGATGAGTTTATCTGTCATTGCTCGCTTCCAGTTAGCACCTTCGCACTGGACTGTCTCTTTTATAAGTGACAGTACTGATTGTGTCCGTAGTACTCTATGTGTAGAGTCCAGTGTCAACATAAGACCTCCTTCGTATTCATCCACCGCTGTTACATATCTAAAAATAAACTTTTAAATAAAATAATGCTAGAGAATGCCCACTTAATCTGTAGTGTAAATGAGCCGATTGTGGTGACCTTAGAAACCAAAAAAATCTCATCCTGCCGATTTGTTCGTTAGGTCGATCAGACCCACAGGATACATTTCCCATGACGTAGATTGCCCCCATAGAAAAAAAAGTCTGTGGTCTGACCGATTATACGGATTTAATCGGCCCTGTAGTCCGATTCACCCAGAGGGACGTTCTTGGTTAAAATAATTATATATTTTTAAATTTTTCTTAGGTGACAATTGGACGCATTAAAGTTTTTCCTGACTAAAAATGAGTGAAAAGTAACTAAGAAGATATTTTTGTTTGAGTCCATCAAAAAACAAATTAAATGATAAACTCACCCGGGCCATACTTCAAGTTTATGTTGTGGTATTTGTATAGCACTATGCTCATTGAAATACTGTCGTCCGAAGCGCACCAGTTGCAAATCCTTCATTATTTGTTTGAACAATACATTGTATATATGTATCATTTCACTCAGACGACGAGTTCGACGAAAACTTATCTGAAAAAATTATTATAGCGTCAATATTACGTCATAAAAATTTAAAATTTTATTTTATTTCAATCCTACAGCAAAGTTAACTATTAGATTGCTCGTAGAATATATTTGTTTACTGCAGGAGTAGCGTATGATATGCTATAAGAAATCCAAAATGGCGGTGACATTTTTTTTTGTGCAACCACCCACCCCATCATGGGTATCAAATAAAGAGATAGAACTAATAGAAAAACATGGTAAAAACTTCATAAAACTTACTATAACTTGAACTTTGGTGTTATCATAAGGGTTTGTTGACACTAAATTCATGGCTTCTTCTGGTAGCATATGAGGCACATATAATGTGGTGCCATCAAATGTTTTAGTTTTGAAATATTGACTGTGTTCTGTAATAAAAGATTCAATTTTAATTTACTCTTCTTACATTATAATTTACTGAATAGACAAATATTTTCTATAGAAATTGCATGCGATTTTCTCTGTGTCAAATTAAATCTTTCTTTTTTATACTATTAGTTATAACATACCATTCAGAAGTTTGAAACATAGATTTTTATAATCTTGCTCGGGATTGTATCTCACTTCATACTCAAATACATGATCCTCTTCAAAATTAAGACGGATAAAGTTCGCTGTCACTTCACATGGTGTTCCTGATTCACCTTTTCTTACAACAGGGGGTGTTTCTTTAATCTCTCTCTGAAAAATAAGGAAATAAATAAAAGTACTTATATCCAAACCATTACTAGCGGCCAGCGGTAACTTATTGCTATATTTTCAAATAGATTATTGAAATCAAGGATAAATCCATAAGAGGCATATTTTTTTTTCAATTCAATGATGAATGAATGAACCATTAGTAAAAAAAATCACTTTAAAATCCAAGTAGCCTTAAAATTTATTTTATTTATTTATTTATAAAAATATAAAAATTCAACTTACAAAATATTTATTCTTGGGTATGGTTGATGATTGAACTGATGATATTGTACTCTCCGCCATCTTCTCTGTTATTTGTTTAACTTCTGCACCACCCACGTGTGGCTGACTTTGCGCCATTTGAGCTTTCCTGCAATTTCAAATAAGACACCCACTCAAGGACCATCCAAAACATAAAATAATCTTAATAATAAGTTTGTTATTCTCATTACCACTGGCCATCAATATGATGATAGTAATAGTATTTTAATTAGTAAGACAAAGAGAAGTATATTTTTACTAACAAATTCTGCAATAACTTGATGCCTCTGCCTGCTCCAACTGTTGGTACTGAAGGGCTGACATCTGATGCCGGAGAGAACTGCACATCTGTTAAAATATTTTTTGTTTATAATAGTGCATTTAGACAACCATTACATTTACATTGATACATAACGTCATCTTCCTATGTATAACACAGAGATAAAATAAAGTCTCATGGCACTGGAAATTCACTTGCAATAATTTGATGTGCAAAATAAATTACTACTTTCTCTAATTCAAGTGAGCAAATATATGAAAAATTGTTGTAAAATTTAACTTTATTATACCTTTAGTTTGCTGATGCATTTTGGACAGCATCATAGCTGCAGCCCTTCCTCTGCCACCGATGATTGTGGCAGGCATACTTGCAGCACCACTTACCTGAAAATTATAGCAATTCAAAATCATACTAGATAATTGCTTTGGCAGAGGTGGCAAGCATTGGAAGGGTAATTTTCCTCTTTTTGTGCTACCCCTCCTCCATTGTTTAAAGACAACACATCTAGAATTGTACCATTTGTTGTTTGCGACCATATAAAAAAAGTTACTGCAGCTGCAGAAACTTCAAATTATGCTAAGAAATTACTAATTCCAAGTACAATTACATTAGTACAATTTAATACCTGGGTAACGATGTCAGTAAGGTTAAAACAGTATAGTCATATGTAGCTAGAAAGAAGTTTGGAAGAGGCATTTGTTCGCAAGTTGTAACTACAGTTTCTTCAACATATCTGTGGCCATACATATCCATAAGTCATTCTGATAAATTTAGACTTTTATTGTAGTTTAGGTCATAAACCATTTCTTAGCCAACATATTAATGAAGGTAGTTTGTTAATGTATACCTATACCATTTAATAATAACTATTGGTACTATTATCATAAAGAACAACAATATACTTCTCTATAAGTACACTTACAACACTTTGAGGCCAATTTGGGGGCACACTTGGAGGTATACTTGGACCAGGGAACTCCTTTGCAGAGGGTTCGCCTGAAGATGACTGTGCATCCGCTAGAGACTTCTTTAGGTCCTTCAATAAGGCCAAGCCCCGTCCACGACCTTTACTTTGGTCCGCCATCGTCCTAAAACATTTATAAATTAACAGCAACTTTAGAAGACGCGTTAGAAGATTAATTAATACGATAACGAAAAGTAGTATATTCTGAAATCTCTCATTTATGACAAATATATTGAACTGGAGGTCTTCCCTTGTATTGTTTTACAAAGTATATTTTTACTTTACATTATTGAAGAAAAACACAAGATACAACCAGTATTTGGCGGGTTTCAGTTTAAATTCTGCCTTTAATCACGAATCTGCTCTCATACCTTTCTTAGTTTTGGTTTGTATTTATCAATGGAAAATGAAATTAACCAAGTTATTTTCTAATTTTCTCAAAAAAACATTGAAAAGACAAACTTTAGAAAACCTGAATTGACTGAGAAAGTTTTTCCACCAAAACACCAAATCAAACAATTTTTTTAAATACTCTTTGAACGAACCGAACCAAAAAGCCAAACCAAAGAGTAGGTATGAACAGCTTATAATTATTATTTTATACACTGTCTGTTATAGGCTTCAGTTTTTGTGCCTATTTTACTTTCGCGATTTTGGCGCTAATTTCATTTTATGGAATGATTACGGAACCTTTTTTGATTTGACAAGACCATGGCTCTCTATTGCAGAGTAAATTACGGATCTATTGGCAATTTTTTTAATCCATGCGATAAATTCTATAGTTTACTTTTTTATTATTTTTATTTAAACTGATGATGCCTGTTCGGTTAAGTTTCACCTTACAGTAACAGCAACTTTTTGAATTTCGCATAATATTGTGTACAGTTTGTAATAAATGTAAGAGATGTACCGACTAATACCTACATATATGTGGGTAGATTTTTTAAAGTCTGGACGGAGGTCTTGTGCAGGTAGTTCAATCGGTCGTAGAACTGTGACGTAAAGAGAAGTGATATTGTAACATTAAATAAATAAAAAAATGGAAAAATAAAACACAAGTGTGTTAAAAAGCAAACTATATTTCATAAATTATATTTATTCATAAATACACATATAACTACAAGCTTTTTTTAGTATTTTTAAGTGAAAAGTGTCTATACATATTTAATTAAAATAGCTACATAAATTTGTTGTTTCACTCGTTTTTCTCTTTAGTTTTCAACTGTTCAAATTCTTTGAATATTTTCTCACTGAGTTTCTCTCCATCGTCATCAATTTGTTCAACAGCTAAGACTTCAGGTATGTAAAATTGCATCATGTTTTGTACCTATAAGGAACACAATGTTTATTAAATAATTTGATAAAGCCATTTTGGTAACTCTAATTCCATTCAAAACCATAATGAAAAATGATTTTCACCATCAAAATCTTACCAATAAATGCAAAAGTTTACATTCATGAATGTTTGCTAGAAGGTATCTCAGAATGGCTCAATGGGTTTTGATTAAATTTAGCATGGATGTAGAACATAGTCTTGAAGAATACATTGGCTAGTAGCCTTTTGTTTATTTTTTTTAAGTCGGTGTGTTTTTTATATTGGGATTGGGAGCATCGGTGGCTCAGTGGTCAAGCACTTGACTTACAATCTGCAGGTCCTGGGTTCGAATCCTGTCATATACCAATGTGTTTTTCGATTTCCGATTTACATATGTACATTTATCTGACGTTCTTACGGTGAAGAAAAACATTGTGATGCAACCTGCACATATCTGAGAAGAAATTCAAAGATATGTGTGAAGTCAACCAACCTGCACTTGGCCAGCGTGGTTGACTATGGCCTAATCACCCTCAACTTAGGGTAAGCTCCGAGCCCCTCGGTGGGGATGTATAGTGAGCTGATGATGATGATGATGTGATTTTTATAATTTAATTATAGGTGACAGATAATTATATCATTGAATACTAACTCCATTTTTTAAAGTAACAATAGAGCTGGGGCATGATGAGCATGAGCCTTGCATCTTAAGTCTGAGCACTCCATCTTTGAAATCTACAAACAGGACATCACCACCATCTTCTTGCACAGTTGGTCTAATTCTCGTATCAAGCAGTTCTTTGATCATTTGAACTATTTCATCATCATCTTCATTTATTTCTGTAAATAGTACAAGGTAAATTTTATTACTGTGAATAATTATAAGGTTTACTTCTAATCCTAGGCCATGAAAAAGTTCATTTCAAAGCAACATCAAAATTTAGTCAACTTTTAAGAAAGTTCAGAGCAAAAAAAGTGATATTGTAAAAAAACTAACCATATTTAGCTAATGTTGATATGAGAAGAAGTCATTTACAGAAATACTAAAATTTAAGTGATATGTGTTGTAGTTTGTCTATGTTCAAACCTTTTTAGGATTGTTTTTGGAGAGAAATATAGTCTTAATAAATAATTACAAACACAAAAGGATCCATTTAAGGTATAATACATACGAGTATCTCCCGATGGTTTGGCATCAGTTACAATAGGCAAGCCACTAGCAAAGAAGTCCATTATTGTTGCAAATATTTCAGGTTTAAGTAACTTCCATTCAATATCATCATCTTGTTTAGTAACAGTAACAAAATCATGCCCAAAAAATACTGCTTTCACACCTTCAATGCGGAAAATCATTTTTGCTGCAAATAATTGTTTTACATTGATATAATTGGTAATTTTTTCCTTGTTTCGCAAACATGATTAACTAGAATCTATATAAAGTATGATTGTTAAAATATGGTTAACATTTACCTAATGGACTGCACTGTGCTGCGCCAATATTAGGAAAGTCAAGTGTTTGACCAGGTTCCAGAACTTTCGTACCAGGTAGAAATTTTAAACTGTTCGGATTCGGTGTGTCTTGAGTCTGGATGAACATTGTTCTGCATTGACATGAGTTAAATACTATTTCTTTGCGGTTTCTAAATCCAAAAGGATGTGATAAGATACTATATTGTTTCGTTTGATTATACCTGTGTACGAAAGAATATTAAAGTGTAAAAATCTATAAAAAAAAGATTCAGATCTAACTTTTCATTAAGTTTGAATAACATTGATTTACCTATAAGCTATTCCTTGATGAAGATAACGACATGGATATCCTATCCTGAGCAATTTAATTGAATTTCTAAACATTGTGGCAACGATTAAATGTGTTATTTTCGTATAATAATAACTTTTAACACTACAAAACAAGCAAATTAAAATACGGAGATTCAATACGAACGACAAATATGTCAGAAATTGAAAACAAGAAAATGTCATGGTGACAGATGACAGTTATTTTTTTTATTTTGTAGCATTGGCTATATGTCATACAGCCTTATCATTTCCAATCTAGATTTATCTAATAATAAAAACTATTATTTCATCTGAGGATTGTAAACATAGCTAAATATTTTAGCCATATCTATGTTAAAGAAGGACATAGGAATGAAAAAGCCAAATCTCATATTTTGTTTATTATTCTTAAATTTATAGGAAAAATATAAAAGTTACGAAATTGATTAAGCCTACAATATTCATGATATAAAAACAGATCAAGATTTAACTAAAATTCTTAGTTTACTTCAGATTTACGACAACCAGTTTTTAATCAGTATAAAGGCAATACAATAGACCTCATGGCTATTTTTAACTATAATTTTATATTACTTAATTATTATAATCAGTATTTTTTTAATAGTTACTGTTCATTTACACTAAATCATAGCAAGCAAATAAGGAATATATTCTTATTTCTTATTCTCAAAGGTATAGCCGCTAAAAATTAAACATAAAAATTATAATATAAATAAGAAGACATTCTTTTCTATAAATACAAAAAGTATCTTTAGACTTTAGGATATTTACATTTTAAAAATTATAGTAGATTCGATATAAAAATGTACATTAAATGATGTCATTATTTAAAATGTACTGTATTTTCCCATTTAATTTTTATAAAGTTTTAGAAATAACTTGCTATTATTATGTTTCTTCCGCATTGGAAATCCATGGTTAAATTTACTTGTATCTAAGAAAAATTCGTAATACTTGCTATGATTCTACAGTTTATAATTCTGTAACAGTTTCATCGTTTTTATTTTTTATTCTTTTACAATTTACGGGTCGCACTGGCACACACAGCACGATGGAAATAGGAACCAGTCCATAAATATGCCCGCGCAATCGTTGCTAGGGTCGTAGGCGAGCAAACGATGCCATTTATATTTTTGCTCACAACTGCAGTCGCCGGAACATCGAGCTGTTGATTTCTTACTGGAAAATAAAAAATATGATAAGTATTATTATAATATTATAACAGCTCCTAACACAGTCGGGTAGGCAAAGATCGCATATCCGTTAATCGCGGTCCAGCCATATCTCTGTGGCGTTTTCAATATTCACACATGTCGGTACAGCTTGTCGGTTTTGGGTGCTTATTATTTTCTTTATAAGTTCAAAGACTGGATAATAAAGAAAGCTACTATACGTAATTCACCAGTAATAGATGTCCTAAACGAAATGTCAAAGTATAGCTAAGGCAGATTAGACATGAATTACACAAATAACTGGTCAGTCGGGATCCTCTCACCCACGCTACGAAATAGAACTTCAAACGAGTTTGGACACCTTCGCCACGCCCAGTCTGCTGGTTACCAAGACAAAATTTATGCATTTCGAACGTGCCCACCTTAGTCTGTATATAATAAGATTTTAATTTTGCATTAAGCATTTCAGGTACTATTATCTAGTAACATTACCTGCAAACTTCTTGATGAATAGCCTGTTCGAAGTGCATTGTATTTACAATGGCTCTCACTTTCTTCGCCGAATTCAACGCCCAATATGGAGTAATTATTTCCGTCTTGCTTTGACATGCGTCTATTCTGAAATGTGAGAAAGTTGGTTATTCCCTACATTAATAATAATCTGGATGTTTAAACTCACGGATAGTAGTATCAGTATTTTTTTTAATTAAACACGATCTTTTTATTTACGTACCGGCCAGTGTTATTGACCTGAGGGTCGGGTAACGTTGACTTTGAAGCCTGCCGCACGTGGCGGAAGTAAGAGTCACCGGAGTGCATGTCGGGAACCCCTGGGGCCCGTCGTACCCGCCCGCCCCCCGGTATCGAGAACGATCCGTACATCCTCTTTATTAAGGCTTTGTTTTCGTCTATGAACATCTCTATTTTATCTCTGAAATATATGAAAACTCGTTGCAATTAAATAAATTTACATTATAAATAGTTTTGAGCCTCTACAGTAACGTAATGTTTTGCGTATTTGACATTGAACATTGATGTAGATTACTTTGTGTTACGCACAAAAAAACCGCTACTGGTTTTCGTTTAAAAGGCCTATGTACTTTTGTCTCATTAATATATATTTTTTTATTCGCGATATGTTGGAGACTTGTTATTAAAATGAATGAGGTATAGTATGAATTTTCAAAAATCTAAATGAATTAATTCCTCAGTTATTGTGATGAT